ACTACGTGGTCAAAGGAGAGGCAAGAACCAGTAGGCACTAGGACTGTCCCTGGGGGTGCAGTGCCTCGGTGCAGGGGAGCAGCTGGAGCGCCCCGGGAGCCTGGCCCAGAATCCTGGGTGCCACTCTCCACCCCCACCTTGGGGAACAGCAGCGCTCTTGTTCCCCCGGAGGAACCTTCGTGCCTATCCCAGATGAGTCATCGGAGCCAGACAGAGCCTAGAGGAGCCCCGGGCAGAGATACAAAGACAGGCAGAGGATAGGAGGCAGGGGGAGACGGAGGAGGGACGCCGAGCGAGAGGTAAATAGGGCAGGCCCAGACAGGGGGCGCGGAGCCAAGCAGAGCCGCCCCGGGAGGGCAGAGCGGCCGGGCCATCGGCTCTCCTGCAGCCCCCACTGCCCTATCTCTGTCCACTGGGTCTGGACCCCACAGCCAGACCCACAGAGGACAGGCCCAGGAGACCTGCCCCAATCCACCCGGCCCCGCCCCTCTACAACCCATTACAAGCCAAGGGCCAGGGCACCCTGCCACGGGCTGTCACTCTCCTCTCCCAGCCCCCACGTCCCACCCCAGACACACGCCCACACAGCTCTGCATGTACACACACACACACACACACGCACACGGCCGGGCACGTGAACTTACTGAGCCGGCTGTAAACACGGGGGCTGAGTGCAGTGTGCGAGCTCACATGCACACACACCTCTCAGCATCACTGGGCAGCCTCAGACCATCAGAGGGGGGCGTCCAGGCAGTCACACACGTGTCAACTCCATGCACACCAGAGGCCTATGCCATCACTGAGGCCACCTCAGGCACCTGTGCACAGGAAGGGGCAGACACGCTCCTGGGGTCACAGAACAGCAAGAGACACATCCGCTCAGGCCCTAGGGCACAGGTCCCCGATGGCCTCTGCCCTGATGGAGCCAGAGAGACGTCCAGGGGGTGAGACGGTGGGACCGTGGCTGGAGGAACAGCGACAAGAACAGGAGGTCTCTCCGGTGTCCCACACATTCTGCCTCACCTGTGTCCTCTGAAACCTCCATTCTGGACACGCCTACCAACCCTCAGGGACGCCCTCCCAGCTCTGGACCCTGGCAGGGGTGGAAGTGCGGGGAAACAAGTGCCTAGCTAGAGGGGGGCGGTGGGGCGAGGGCTGGGGATGTGGGCGCTGG